GGTTCAAACCCACCAGCCACTCCTTGGAAGGAAGGTTGGGCAATCCTACTTCCGTAGTGATACTGCCTCGGAAACCCAAGGAGGGGTCACTCTGAGTCGACTCCACGGCAAACAACAACAACATATCATTTAAAATTTATTCATGTTAAAAGTAGGGGGCAAATAACAGTTTCTAGCTGATAGAAATTTACAACAAAAACATACTCCTTGAAAGATATATTTTAGCAAATATAAAAAATAAACTGAAACTGACCCATTTAATGGCCAAAAGATTCCAGAAACTGCTTACAAAGTAACACATGATAACTATGTTGCCATGTAGTGTGGGAAAGAGGACAAACTACTCCTTGACCCAACCTTCTACTCTTTCTCCCTTTCAACACCCTCTGGGCCACTAACAACCTATAACCTTAACTTCTCAGAACGTTATGCCCTCTACAGCTCAGTGGTTCTCAACTGTGGATGCAGTGGAATCATCAAAGGTGTTTTTAGAAAATACTGACACCTGGACCCCACCCCAGGCCAATTAAGAGAAAGAGACAGAGACAGAGACACACAAACATACAGAAAAAGAGAGAGAGGGAGAGAGGGAGGGAGGGAGGGAGAGAGAGAGAGAGAGAGAAGAAACACTCTCCAGGTGATCCCAATGTGCATCCAGATTGAAAACCAGAGTCAACTGGAAATAAACTGGTCTCTCAGAATAGCATTCCCCTGTGTAATCTGAGGTTGGTGTCTGTATTTTTAAGGAACCCTGGTGGTGCAGTGGTTAAGGCCTTTGGCTACTAACCAAAAGGTTAGTGGTTTGAATCCACCAGTTGCTCCTCGGGTGAAAGATATGGCAATCTGCTTCCATAAAGATTATACCATTGGAAACCCTAATACTCAGAACAGCAGTTCTACTCTCTCTTACAAAGTCGCTATGAGTTGGAATCTACTCAAGGGCAGTAGGTTGGGTTTTTGGTCCTTATTTTTCTTAATGCCACCTCCAGACCATTCTGTCTTCTTTTCCCTGAGGAAAAATCCTTCCTCCTTTGAGGCTTACCCACAGAGCTACACTATCTTCTTTTCTCTTCAATGAGATCGCCTACCACACTGTCAGAAACTTCTGAATCCAGAATTCAACACCTGACTGGAAAGACTTCCTCTCCATTCAAATTCCTACCACTGTTTTTGGGTTTCTTCAAAATGAGCACAGAAAGCCTAGTCAACACCCTTGACTTCTTCATCTAATCACTCCCCACCTCAGCCACCTACTCCCACAGTTACTCCTTGAACTTTTCCAAGGAAGAAACACAACCATCTCATAAATTTCTAATTCCAATGTCCCACTCAGACCTGTTATTCCTTCCAGCTTACTTTTTCATTATCCTCTGGTAACTGGCTTCATGGCAACCTGTTGACCTCCTCTCCACTTTCTCACTATCCATCAGCTCCCTCCTGCTTTCACTTCCTTTTTTATAAAACAGATACCATTATTATTCTCTTGGAAAAACCCAGATGTGCCTTACCTGACTAAATGCCAACTCTCAGAAATCCAACTAATTGCCTTCTCTGTACTTTCACCTGCGCAACCAGCGGGCGTAAACACACAAACAGGCATGCAAGCACACAGGCAGAATGTTATCATTTTAAATTCCTAATTGCCAACCTCTACTGGGCCTTCTATGATAGGCAGCAATGGTGGCATAATGCCTAAAGCATCTGACTGCTAACCAGAAGGCTGGAGGTTCAAACCCACCAGCCACTCCTCGGAAGGAAGATTGGGCAATCTACTTCCGTAGTGATACCGCCTCAGAAACCCAAGGATGGGTTGCTATGAGTCAGATCCGACTTGATGGCATTGAGTTTGGTTTTTGGTTTATAGTGAAAGAGAAGGAGCTCTGCCAACCAAAAAGTCAGTAGTTCAAACCCATTATACCCCCTCCATGGAAGAAAGATGTGGCAGTCTGCTTCCATAAAAATTTACAGCCTTGGAAACCCTATGGGTCAACAATTATACTGTGTCTTTTGGGTCGCTATGAGTTAGAACCAACTTGGTGGCAGTGAGTTTGATTTTGGTTTTGAGTGTCCTAATATCTGGAATAACTATTTCACACCTTTTCATTTATCCTCAAACTTCATGATGCTCCTCTACTTAGCTCCTCTCATTCCAAGTTGATTACTTTATATCCTACTTCAGAGAAAATAGAAGTCATTACATGGAAACCTACCTGTATTTGTACTCATCATCTCCTTTCCCTTCTGATACAAGGAAGGAAGATTACTTCTACCAAAGGCTGCCTTTACTTTCAATCACAAGCCCTCCGATTTGCTCAGGAAACTTATGCTCACATCCATTCCCCAGTCACACACACCCCCCCCCCATCTATAACATTTCCCTTTCACTGGCTCCTTCCCATCAGCATTAAATCTTGCTCTTTCCCATTAAAAAACAGAAAAAAAAAAACCTTCATGGATTCCATATTTCCCTCTAACTCCAGCCCATCTCTCCATCTCTATATTATTCCACAGTCAAGCTTTAAAAAATAAGTCACTACTTGCTCACTAAGGAGCTCTCTTTAATCCATCCCAATGATTTTTATCCCATACTCCTTCTGAAATTGCTTTGCTAAGGTTACCAATAACTTCCATATTACTAAATCCAATGGATACTCTTCAGTCATCTTACTAGCAGAAAGCAACAGTTCACTGACTACTTGAAACGTGCTCGTCTGAATGGGTCTATGATACCATATTCATCTAGTTTGACTCTCTCTCTGGTCACTAATGTTTAGTTCCTTTGGTATTGCCTCTTCTATCTAACCTTTAAAAAGTATAATTCCTTAGGGTTCAATCCTAAATCCTCTTCTCATTGTATACCAGCACTGTCCAATAGGACTGTGTGTGATGATGGACATGTTCTATAACCGTGAGGTCCAATGTGGTAGCCAATATGTGGCTAATGAGTACTTGGTATGTGGTGAGTTCAAGTGAGGAACTGAATTTCTAATTTTATTTGTAAATCATTTAAATTTACACAGGTAGATATAGCTCGTGGCTACCACACTAGACAGCACAGCTCTATATGTAATCACGGGAGCTCTGGTAGCATAGTGCCTAAGGCACTTGACTGCTAAACAGAAGGCTGGTGGTTCAAACCCACCAGCCAGTCCTCGGAAGGAATTAGGGGCATCTACTTCCGTAGTGATACTGCCTCGGCAACCCAAGGAGGGGTCACTATGAGTCGGGTCCGACTCGATGGCACACAACAACAACAACCACAACATATGCAATCACACCATTTCTCTTGGTTTCAAATA